TCGGTTTCGGTTCGGATTCGGATTATACTGAAGTTACCATATATCATTTGGGTTCGAGTTTTACTGTATCGGTTTCGGATTAACTAAAGTAAAATTCAAAGAAAACAAATAAACAAACACTCATAAGTTGACTAGATAAGAACTAAGAAACATGTCTCTCAAAATTAATAAACTCAAACTTAGTAAAAATGTTTGCAACAACACACTAATACCGATAATAGAAACATAAAGTTTTAAAATGAAAAACAAACTGAGACAAAACCGCAAACAGATTACTATGATTCATATGACACAGAAGACTCAGATTGATTTCTGAAAATCAAGTCCTTTCGGATTGAGTTCTTGAAATCAAAGATGGTGGAGGAGATAGAGATAATTGCATGTTTGTGTTTCTGAACATACTCTTCGATCAAACACCTTATTTTAATAGGAGATTAGGTTTTTGAAACTAGAAGAAGAGGAATCGCCCCTAAGGTTATTATGAAATGTGTGGTTGTGTCTAAACTTAGTTGTGTCTTAGAATTGAAAATAACAAAGTGTGGTTGTGCCTTTTTGGAAATTGTCAAAATCAATAATGATTAATACGTGTGTATATTTACTGTACACTATACATATAATCGGTTATTTCAGGTTTTAATTCGGATATCGGATTAAACCGAACCCGAACCCGATATCCAAAGTATCAGCATATCAAACCCGATCGGGTATTCTGAAAGATCCATAACCGGTCGGGTTCGGGTTTTTCGGTTCGGGTTCGGGTTCGGTTTCGGATTATGGATAATATGCCCAGGCCTAGGTCTAGGCATGCCGCATGCAATAATTTATTAGAACATAAGCCCATTTGAATGAACTCAAACTCAAGGTGCCGTTATTTGCGATAAAACCTTCTCTTTAGCGCAGGGAATATAAAATAAAGAAGTATAGTTCTTAAAGAAAATCTAAAGCAAAGAGAGAAAAATTTAAAAACCTCACCGTAACCTCTCACCAAACAAAAGCAAAACCCTAGATTTGTAAGTGTCCCCCGGCGGCTGGTGTCCTCTCCCGGAGCCGGAGGTTTCTCTCTTCCTTTTATATCTTGTTTTTGTTTTGCTCTCTTGGTGGCTTCTCCCTCCCCTGTGATATGCTCGACGGATCTGGAGTTCGATGAACACCTCTGCTTAGGCTCTGACCGCGGCGGTGCTGAGGTAGAGGGAGGAAGACGGATCTCTGGAACGGCGGCGAGCAGGAAGAAGAAGAACCTCCAAGATGGGTCGGCTTTTAGGGTTTGTTAGTGGTCGTTGACGGTCGTTTTCTCACGCTTGACTTGTCGGATTACAACATAGAGATGGAGGTGCGTGGCTGTGCTTGTGTTCCCCTCTCTCGTAGATCTGAAGGCAAACATCTTGGAGAAGAAAGGTGAGGGCGCGTGGTTTGGAGGTCTGGAGAGCTTTCGGCATGTGGAAAACTCTGGTCTCATTCCCCGACAAGTGAACGTTGAGAGCCTTTCTCTTAACGGTGGTACCGGAGCTCATAAGGCTGGCGTGTGCCAGCTGGATTGGCTCAGGCGTGGCGCGTGGCTGTGATTCCTTCAGTCGCAGAGGGTCGTCGATGGCCAACTCGGAGGAGGGAAGAATGGTGCTTCTTTGTGGACATAGGAAGTTTCGTCAATGGCATGAAGGTTTTCTCAAGAGCAGCTGCTTCTCCGGTTCTCGGAGACAGAGCATGAAGAGGTTTAAGCTTCATCGATTGGTCAACGAAGGAGTTTTAAATCTATGTGGCTTCATGTTTCAACGTGAAACATCCGCATGCCGGATCCTACCGGTAGTTTCCTTTGTCTCCTCTTGATGATGAACTGAACTGTCGTTGTTGCCAAAATCTCAACCCGACTTTGCAAAGATACAGAGCCTTAGTTTCAGGACAGTTGGAGCCTACACAGAGGAAGATGCACTTCTTAGTGTTGTGGTTGTTGGTCATATGCTGCACTCAAATCATAAGGCATCAACTACCCTGAGCTTATTTAACTTTCTCTTGTGTTTCGTTTTCGATTGACCTTGAAATAGTTTTGTATCTTTGTTTTTTTTGTTTAGTGGTAGAATGTAGGTGGTTTTAGGGGCGGTTCATACTGAGTCGTAGTGTGGATTCGTCCCATGTGGTTGCAAGAGTACAATGGAATCTCGATTGGGTAGCGTAGGATCCATAGAAGTGTTCCTAGGTTATACTAGACCACTCCATTGTCTTGTGGTTGAATCTTGTGTGAGGTGTAATCTCATTGTAACACTCTTTGGTTAATGAAAGTTGAAGTTAAGTAAAAAAAAAAGAAAATCTAAAGCTTCTTTTCTTTCTACTTATTTTTTTTCTTTTAAATAAAGCTCCATGAGCTATTTCCATTTTAATAAAGCTGTAATAAGTTCAATCTATCTTCCTAAGGATTTGCTCACATAATTGATAATCCACTTCTTATCTTCTTGATAGACTACCGAGATCATGATTAATCCCGATTTTTTAATTGGAGTTTTTAGTTTTGGATAAAAAAATATTTTAGTTTTTCTTAAATTTTAATAAGAAAAACTAAGAACTGTTTTTAAATAGAAGTATAAAAATTCCGGCTAAGTGACCGGAGATAATCATGGTCTCTCTCTAATAGTAGTCATTGTATATATTGATAAAACGCTATTGTAGTCATTTTTCTACATATGTATTTGTTAGATTCATAACTATTGTGGTGTTGGAAAGCGATCCATGAATTTGTTTCCTTAGTCCGAATCTAAGTTATATATTTTATCAATTACCTTATCAACGAAATTGATGGTCTTTCTAAAAAGACAAATGCTTTTTGTATTTTTCATTATCACCAACGTGAATTTTCTGACCAAATCCCTTTGGCCTCGATTGACGTTTACCTCCCAAATCGTCAAGCTCGAAACCATCGTGCATTTCACTAATTTTCGTTTCATGCAAGTATATCATATTAGAGCTGCTCTCAGATCTCTCGTTTAATCACTCCATTTTCTCAAACCTATGATGTACCCATAACAAACTGAACACATCTATTAAAAACAACGATTTTTTATAGACTAGAATATAACATATTTCCATAATACAGTGAAATCTCTATAAATTAATAATGTTGGGACTACACCAAAACTAAAAAAATTATTAATTTATAGAAATTATTAATTTATCGAAATATTAATTGAACCAAAAATTCAATTTGAGACTATGAAAGTATATTAATTTATAGAGATATTAATTTATAGATTATTAATTTAAAGAGGTTATACTGTATGATTTAAGAAGTTCTTTTTATTTATCGCTCTAAAATTATTATTTTCTGTTATGATCAATTGCAAAGTTAACCAAGTCATCGAAGATTATCCCAACTCAGAGACCATCCAAACGTTCTAGAAAACTTGGGGCATTCAGTTTCGACTTTGCAATCGGAGCATCGCAACCCAATTTCTGACAAGACGGCGGAGAAAGAGATTGCATTGTGCCTAATTATGCTCTCAATAGGCAACAAGAACATAGGAGTAAGAGAGAGCTTCAAGTGCGAGACATGTGAAAAGGTCTTTCAATGCTATCAAGCACTAGGTACACAGATCAAGCCAAAATATTTAAGATAAACTTATTATGTATGTAAATTATAAAAGACATATTAGTGCTTCTTCTATTTATTTATACATGTATATTATGAATGAGTAAAAAAATATTAACAAATTATTACGATCTAGTTTGGTAATAGATATTTTATATATACATAAACTTCCATAAAATTACCGGTTATGTTCATATATTTTTCCGAACCGAAAATACTTTTTTATTTGTTTCCTTAATAACATATATTAAATACTACCAAATTAAATTCTACTAACAGAGTTAATCTGATTTTAAACTATTTAAAATCATGAATAAAAATAATTCACATACCTAAGAATAAGTAAATTAATCAAATTGTTAATAAGTAAAATTATATTTATATTTAAAAAATCCTATTTTCATGTAGATAAATTATAAACCAATTTTAAATTTATAAAAGATAAAAAATTTATTAATTATTATATATTCGTAAATATTTATATCCGTGTATGAGTATGAAATGGTCACTTAATAAAAAATATTGAAAAAATACGGTGAAATGGTGTTTAAGATTTTATTTCTTTCATGATTGTATATCGGTTATATATATATATTTAAATTGGAAGTATTGAACCAAACTTAAACTAGCATAAATATTTGCATATGGAATTTTCATTAAGAGATAAATCAAACCAGTGACGAGATACAGCTGATCAAAATATTTCAAACAGAATTTTTCATTAGATATGAAAAATAAAGATAGAAACGTAATCCAATTTTTCAAAAGCTAAATTAAAACTAATACATAGCTATATAATTAAATACAGTTTCAACATAGATATTTCTCCTAACTACATTATTTTGTTTGCTTCGCATACAAAAGAAAACAAACAAAAACGTTATTGGGCTTTTCTTGTTAGAACTCACTTGGGCTTCCAACGAACCACATCTTTCCAAGATAATCAAATATCAAGACTTAAGAGTAGCCTCCAATTCGGATTCTTCTAAATACTGATTTGAAAGGTCAAAACCCATTTCGGCATTAAAGTTCAAATTATATAGTCATTGACTCATTGAAATCTGATTGAATCTTATCGCCAAATACGGAACTAGACAGTCAATTAGAACTAATGGATATCTTTAATCAGAAGTAAATAATACTTAGTATGGTAAATGAGTTAATACGTGAGTCAATTCTCACACGTCTAAACATAAATGCAAATGATTTCTGTCAACGTTGAAAAACCCCCCTATTATTTACCTTAACAAAAATATTCCTTTCCAAGAAAGCAAAGAAGTAACCTGTCACATTTTCATTTTCCATTATTGTAAGATTCTCTTTTAAGTCTCCTAAACTTCTACTACTATATAAACACTACTCATTTCCCCAGGAATCACAGACACACAAAACACTAATTTCATATCTCACCGCTTCTATTAAAAGCATGGTGGCGCTCATGAAAACTCTCTGTTTATCTGTGATCGTCTTCGCTTCTGTTGCGACCTTCTTCTCAGTTGCTGATGCACATAGGTTTTACGTGGGAGGTAACGGCGCTTGGGTCGTAAATCCACATGAGAATTACAAGTCTTGGGCTGAAAGTAACCGTTTCCAAGTCAATGACACACTCTGTAAGATTCTTTTATATTGTTAGGAGTTTTATATTACGAGTTTTTATCAACGTAACGTGATTGTGACGATAAAGATTGAAATCTTGTGTAGACTTTAAGTATGCCAAGGTATCAGACTCGGTGCAACTAGTGACGAAAGCAGATTACTACGCCTGCAACGTTAACAATCCGATACAGAAGTTTGATAATGGAGAGGCTGAAGTTGCTCTTAATCGATCTGGTCCTTATTATTTCATCAGTGGTAATCAATATCACTGTCTGAGGGGACAGAAGTTGACCGTCGTTGTCCTCGCCGTCAGAAATCACCCCAACGTACCCATGTCTCCGGCGAAACCACCAACAACGGCCCAACCTCCAAAATCACACTCCCCTGTATCTCCGGCGAAAGCACCATCAACAGCTCAGCCGCCTAAATCACACTCCCCTGTTTCTCCGGCGAAAGCACCGTCAACAGCTCAGCCGCCTAAATCTCATTCCCCTGTTTCTCCAGTTGCACCGGCTAAAGCTCCGTGGATGGCCGAAACTCCAAAGGCTCACTCCCCAATTTCTCATCTTTCTCCGGCTATGTCTCCGTCAACCACCCAACCTCCAAAGGCTCATTCCCCTGTTTCTCCCACTGCACCGGCGAAAGCTCCATCAATGGCTCAGCCGCCCAAATCCTCTGTTTCTCCACCCCAACATTCTACACCTTCTCCTGTTGCTCACTCACCGTCCAAAGCTCCAGCAACGTCCCCAGCTACACATTCTCCCCCACCAAAATCTCCATCGCCGTCGACTTCTTCCCCGACAAAATCTCCAAGATCTTCGCCGTCACCAAAGTCTCCTTCCCCTGCTGCTTCTCCAACGCAGTCAGCATCTTCCCCGGTAAAACCTCCGACGTCTTCCTCTGATCCTTCACCAGCTTCTCCAGCTACGTCGCCATCTCCTTCTGAATCGACTCCAGCCGCAGATAACAACAACATGGCGCCTGCGCCAAGTCCCAAGAGTGCAGCAACTGTTGTGACCGTTACTTCTGTTATGTCTACACTCTTCAGTGTGGCTTTTACCGTTTTGATGTTCCCTTAAGTTTTTTAAAATGGTTTTGTGATTTGATTTACATTTCTTTATTCTGTTGCTGAGTTTTTGTTGTTTGTTTCGAGTCTCCTTGTTTTGCATTATTGAACTATTATCTCTGTCATTCAAATCGATATGTTGTTCTAAGCTAGTCAGTCACTCGACCCTTGCATGATTTTTATTTTTTTGACTTCTGCTGAATTGTTTTCGCAGAATACGAATACCCGAACCGCTATAGTTCCGTTCCATGAACCAATGGTTGAATAAAAATCTGACCAGGGATTTAGTTTACATTTAGTTTGTAAAGCTTCTTTCATTTGTTAGTAGTTAAAATGTTCACATTTACAATATATTCAGTATTTTTGGATTCAGACGATAATATTTCTGTCACTATACACTACTAGTATATAACTATGATGCTTTCACTCTAAAAAAGTCAGGTTTTGTAAAGTTTTGGTATTGAAAACATTCCATATCGTATTAAATGATTCAATTTCACGGGAAATTGTTTTTTTTTTAATTCCCTAAGTATTTGTAATCAACACTTTTAATATACTCAACTTCTACTTGTGCAGATTTATTCTCAAGTAAATGTTGATCGAACATAATCCCCTATACATTATTTGTGAAGTGATTTTGCCACATTCTCTACAATCAGTTTCACAAAAAATGGTGACATGTCTACTAGAATTGATGACATGGCCTATGATTAAATATGACATGGACAATTGGATTTAATGTTAATATATATTTTTGGAAAACTTTATACAATATGGTAACAATTCATATATTACAATTAATGTAGATTTATATTTTTAGAAATATTTTAAAATATGGTAATAACGCATAAATCATTATTAAAATAAATATATACCAATATGGCATTAAAAATTTCGAAAATTTCATTTAATTATATATTTTAAAACTATACAATTTCATTATAAAATTTTCAAAAATGTATACATTTTTAGAAAATTATTAAAATTTATTCGTAAAATTATTAATTTCTTATATATTTAAAAATTTAATAAATATTGTCTAATTTTAATTTTTGATAATTATAAAATTTTCTACAAATTTATTCAATATATTTAATTAAAATAAATAGATAAACAATTATCTAAGATTATAGTTTTAAATATATACATACATATTCTTAAATATAATTTAAAATAAACAAAAATATTTTTATATTATTTTTATCTTTGATTAAACAAAATTTTGTATTAAAATAGTGATAAGAAAAATAAAATTTATAATATTAATAAAATTTTAATTTTAATATACTCAACTTCTACTTGTGCAGATTTATTCTCAAGTAAATGTTGATCGAACAAAATTGGACTTTAAAAAGCTCACCGTTATACGAAGACGTTAGTTATAATTGGAAAAAAATGATTTTGTCTTTTGATACCCAGAATTCTCACACTTCGATTCTTCATGCGGTTTTGGAGGAGAAATTAATTCCGATAGTAAGAGGCATGCCGGCAAGCATAACAGAAGCCTTATCTATACATTGTAATAATCACTAGTTTGTGTCAAAACCGTTGTTGTTGTTGTTTCGTACAAGAAAACACGAAGGAGTGTAAAAGTGAAATAAACAAAATTTGAGGGATTATGGTGATGAAGGTGACAAATAAGATGATGAGGTAAGCACCAAGAACA